CCAGCGCTTCCCAGCCTTTCCCCCCAGCCTTTCCCAGCCTTTCCCAGCCTTTCCCAGCCCTTCCCAGCCGAGGGCCGGTCTGTGTGCCGAGGCCGGGGTCGCGGGGACGGGGGGACAGATGCCCAGGCGGGGAGCGGGGCAAATACCCCCCTTTTGCCTTTTCCCCAGCCCTGTGGTTTTTACCGCCTTGTATTAAACATCTGCTGTAAGAAGGGGATGTGTCCCCAGACACCCCGGGATTGGGGACAGCCATGAGCCGGGGTCCTGCTTGCAGCCAGCCGGCGTGGGTGGCTTTTGGGGACATTGGGGTGCTTTCTGCCCAGCATCTGCTCCCGGATAAGATCCCCTCTCCCAAGCCCTTGGCACCGCCAACAGAAAGGGCTCTATGCTGGCGGTGCCTCCCCCAGCTCCGTGAGTGGCTCTAATTGAGGGGCCAGAAAAAATCCAAATAAATAGATGGCCCCGGCTATCAAAGGGGTTTTCATGCGGATCAAGAGTGGCTGTGTGCCTCTCCGGGGACCGGGGATGGAGAGGCCCCATCTCCTGGGGCTTTGCCTGCCCCACAGCATCACCACCTGAAAGGGAAGCTGCCCACCTCTAATTTGGGGGTTTATATTTAACCGTGCCGGCGGTGGTGTAGCCGGCTCACAGGGAGGCCTTGGAGCTTTTCCTGGTGGAGAAAGGGGCAGCGGAGGAGCGGGTTGGGACCCTTTCACAGCTTTCTCGGTGGCACCGACACCAGTGGTCAGGACAGAAGGTGCTGGTGATGGTTCTTGGGGTCTCCAGAGTGCAGGACCTGGTTTCTCCCCCCTAAAGCAGTTCCCAGCTGAGGAGGCCACAGAGCGGAAGGACTTGAGATCAGAAAAGATGCAAACATGATTGTCACTCTTTTGCCCCCCAAAATCCTTGGTTTGATGTGGGGATCACCTGTGGTGGTGGCCCAGGGTCCCCCCAGTCCCTGTTGCTTTCCTGCCAGGGCAGGGATGGGGATTTCTGCGGGGTAGGAGGCGGCCGTGGAGCTCCCGGGCCCCGGAGGTGTCCACAGGGTTTGCAGAGCCAGACCCACAGGAAAAATCCCAAATAGTTTTTTGTAATAAAGCAAAAATTGCACATTGCACCGGTGAGAGCTGGGAAATGGTGTCCACTGAAGGAAGGAGGAATCAGTTTCTGTGGTGTTGTGCAACACCTCACAGACGGACCCAGAAGGATGTACCCAAGTTACCCAACCCGCCACCTGTTATAAAAGACCGAGCTCTCCCCTCACCCCACAGCAGCGTCTCCTGCCTGGGCTGAAGCAAAAAGCAGAGACCCAAGGGGGGTAACAGGGACGAGCAGCTCCGTGTGCTGCTGTCTATGGTGGGCAGAGCCTGCCCAGGGTGGGACCCATCTGTGCCAGTTTTCGACAGCACTACCTATGCAAATTTTTAAAAATTATATCAGTAATTCCCTTCCCATGGCATCTGGAGAACCTCTGGCCATCCTTCAGGCTGGGTATTTTATCAGTGTTGTCTCTGAGGTGGTGAGGAGTGCAGGGACGGGGTGGGGTGGGGGTCAGATGGGATGGGATGCGATGGGATGGAGTGGGATGGGGTGGGAGCAAGGCTGAGGTGTCAGGATGGGGTTGCTGCAATGGGGTTACTGCACAGGGGTGATTGGTGTTATTTGGGCTGCAGTGCCATCTATTAATGAGGGGTTTGAAACATTGCTTGGCTGTGCAGGGGTTAAAGTTGCCGTTGTATCAGCCTGAAGGATTTCTAAGACCAAGCTCCAAGCTGTGTGACCAAGGCTGGAGAGGGTTAAGGGAATGGTGAGATCTAATCAGAACTGCTCCCTCATCAGTCGCAGATGAGTGGCCACATATAAAACCAGTCGGGAATATCTATCCATTTACCCGTAATTACTTATTTCCACACTCGCTCTCACAGTCCACGCTAGCGATCACAGTTTTCCCATGTAAGCTCAGGGCTGAGAAGTTCTTTGTACATGAAAGTGAAGCTGGAGACAGGAGCTCCCAAAAGCTCCTTGTTTCCCCGGTTCCCGTTTGGGGTTCCTGCATTTCAGGGTGGTCGCAGTCCCCAAGCGCAATGCTGTCCCCTGCCCTGGGGAGCCCGAGGGTGGGTGGTGCAGGTGGTTTGGTGCAGCCTGTGCCCCAAAAACCCCAGGAGCTTCCTGGCAGCGCTGGTCACAACCCGATCCCTGGGGCCAGGAGAGTTTCAAGGCTTTTTTTTTTTTTCTTCCTATCTGCAAATTGCTTGGAGTAAGTATTTCAGATTTCAGCCCCAAACTCCTCTGGACTACCCCAAACTGGAGGTGCCATCTGCATGGTAGAGATGATCTTGGATATTTCTGGCTCTAACAGGCAGTGGGACGCTGAGGGCTGTCCCCAACGGGTGGCACCCAGGCTGGGATGTGTTTCTGTCACCAAGAGGATGGGCACATGGGATCTGTGAGACT